GTCAATGTAAGATAAGTATGAATGTATGTCTCTAATTATTTCTCTTGTATCTGAATTGTTGAAGGTGACGCACATTTTAAGATAACGACGAATCTATTACAAAACCAATGTAGTGCTCTTTAAAAAAAAAATCCCGCGTCACATGGTATAAAATAACCAAGTCCTAATACTATTGTTTTGTGTGAGGCGTATTCCGGCATGACAAAACGTTCTTGTACGAGGTGCCCTGGGACGAGTTGGCCTACCGCGCCCTTTCACCTATGACCAGTTGACCTGTGACGACTGGACATGTGACGAGCTATCTTAAAAACCAATACTTCAAAGTTCACAATAAAAAATTTAGGGATGAAGATTTCATTGACAGGTTTTTAGATATGTTATTGCAGATTAAAGTGCACCATTTCGTGAGCAAGCAGCAAGCCCGCGACTTGCGAGAACTGAAGACCAGGCTAAAGAGCAACGAAATTATTGTGCTGATGGACTTCGCGGAAAACTATAGCTTTATTGTCCAAGATTTTCCGCAGTCCTACCACTGGGTGAACATTCAGGCCTCGATCCACTCCATTGTGATATATTTCCGTCCAGATAAAAGCGGCGTGGATATTTCAGTGAAATCTTTCACCGTAATTTCCGACTGCTTGTAGCACGACACAGCGGCGGTTTCTGCATTCCAAGCCGAGGTACTGAAAATAGTGAAGCACAACTTGCCTCAAATTGAAAAGGTATACTACTTTTCTGATGGTGATTCGTCGCAGTATAAAAACCAAAAATAATTTTGTGAACCTTCGTTGCCATCAACTGGACTACAACATTGCAGCAGAATGAAATTTCTTCGCTACCTCTTACGGAAAGAGGGCCTGCGACGGTGTCGGAGAAACACTAAGCCGCCTATGGGCGAAGGCAAGTTTGCAGCAGCCTTTTGAAAATCAGATAATGACACCGTACCAGCTCTTCTCATTTGCAGACAAAAATATGAAAGGTATTAAGGTCCTCTTGGTGCCCGCTCGCGTTGTGGAAGAAAGAGAATCTGAGCTTGCGCAAAGTTTCAGCACTGCAGTTACCATCAAAGGCAGCCGGAAGTTTCACTGTTTCAAACAAAACTCTATATCTACACTTTGCGCGGGGCTTACCTCTTACTCAAGTACAGAAAACATAAAAGCTTCAAAAGGCTAAACTAAACCACGTTATCACGTCGTTCGAAGATCCCGCCCTAAGCCACACGAGTTTCAAAACTGGGACAAATTTCATCACTGGGACGATATACAGCTCGACTCTTCGTTTTCTTCGCGTACACCACGCAGTTGCTGCATGCAAACCAACACGCGCCCATTGTGAAACCAACAACACAATATGGCGTACGCTTTACAGGCGGAGCCGACTCAGAGCGGTGCCGCGCTCTTGGCCAAACTCTCCCAGTACATATGGCTCTGGGTTCGACAACGGTCAGGGACCCCCTTGCGTCTGCGTTTTAATCTGCCAGCCTGACTACCCTTCGACCCCCCTGAGCAGTTCGGAAAACAAAAAAGGGTTCACAGCCACACATGTCAGCTCGACTCTTACTTACCCCATGCACCTTGAAGTGCGACTTAAAGCACCCAAGAAAAGCGCGAAGTTTCACCGGTGGACGACAGCGCGAGCGGCGGCGTGCTATAAAGTGAAGAGGTTGCGCGGAACGGCTGAGACGCGCTATAACTTGCCAAATTAAAAAAAAAAAAAAATTTTCTCTTAGAAAAAAAGTTACTCTCCTTAAATTTGCAGAATTGAATGTAAATAAAGCGTTCTATCATATAAGCTATACAGTGCATTTTTTCTTGGACCGCTTTAAGGCGCCATTGATGGCCGAACATGAGCTAAAAGCACGTTTTGCAGAGATTTGATATTTCTTTATTGGCACACCACAAAATGTTTTGTCATTCAAACTTCTTTTTTTCGGAAGTACAGCTCGGCGACCGTGCATAAATAATTCTAGAATGGCCAAAATGGTGTTACTGTTTCTTTTTTACAAAAAGTCGCAAATCATCCAATTTTTGTGCCTTTGATGCAAATGATACCGAAACAAAAACATTCAAATACATAGCCGAAGTTACTAAATAATATTGCCCCCAACCGTTTTAGAATCTAACAAACAAAAAAAAAAAGAGAAAATCTCAGTAGGTCTCGATCTTTGTTTTTCTTGTACTACTCATTTTTACACACAACTGCCGAAATACAGTTGCGCTCATGTCGGCAAATTTTTTTTTTTTTTTTTTTTTACAAAAAATGTTTGGGCAAGTGGCTGTTCAAGTTGCAAGTAAAAGCTAAGATTTTTTTGCGAATTGATCCGAGATTGCCGAGCGCACACCTTGTTACGTTGGAGATGGAATGACCTGGCTGTGACGGACGATGAACAGTTCTACGCATCGGTATGTTAAAAAAAATGATCAAAATCAGAAGCATGCGCATTAATCTTTGCAGGACGGAAAGAAACGCCAATCTTTGGAAATAGTTATTCAACTTATTGCTCTTTTGACAGTGATCGCGATGGAATATCGGTCATGCTTACTGCATAAGTGGAAAATATGAAATGGTTAATACTGAACCAAATTTTTTTTCACTGCAGAATATTATGCAAACATCACCCACAGGATATAGCCCGCATCGCCATGTGACACAAATCGAAATGCATTTTAGTGGCTCTGCCTTTAATTTCCAACTCAAAACTTTGAATGCACTTTAACTAAACCTGAACATTTCTTAATGCGTCCACAAAACCAAGTAAAACAGCGTCAAGCTATGCGAGCTGTTTCTTTATCGGTTAGGCTTAGCCGGTTCTCCGCGGTGAGATGAACTCTCCAGTGAAAGCACTGGGAATGCATCCCATGTCGAGTTTTCCTCTCACGGTCAAAAGCGAATGTTGCCGGACTTTTGTAATCCTCGTACCATCGAACGCACAGCCCGATTGTAGAACCAGATATCCATCGCCGTCTTGCCGTACAGCGCACACCGCACACCTGCCATCGTCAGCAAAAACACGTAATGGCCGTTCAAACACCACGTGACGCCTGCGCCGCTCCGCTTTGCTCCACACTACGACGGCTAGAGACGCAGTGCTAGGAAGCGCTCTGAGTGGGAGTGCAGCCCTCAGAAAGCACGAGGCAATCAAGCCAACGCACTTCTTTTCCACCACCCTATCGCTTGAGCTCTAGAAAAAAGAGCTTGAGAGGGCGCAGAAAGAACCACGCGAATTCGCCACTATACTCCGCGACAACTTTTCTTGGCAATGCAGTGGAAGGTACAGGCCCGCGTCCCCTCTCCCATTTTGAGCGTGCGCTGGCTCTCCTCCTCTCCCCGGCAATGGGGGAGGAGGAGAGCCTGCGTACACTGAAAATTGGAGAGGGGACGCGGGCCTGTACCTTCCAAGGCATTGCCAAAAAAAGTTGTCGCGGAATATAAATTGGTTCCCCCAATAACAATTTTGTTCCTATGGTGGCTTACTTTTTTGCACTCAGTTTGTTCTAAGTGGATGTTTCTTCCCTTTCCCAATCCGCGCATTGTTTTATCCGCGGAATTTACGTACCCCATTTTCTGCCAAATGACGCCGGTTATTTTAAAGCGGTGGATAAAACAGACCAAATCACACTTGGGGGCTATCAGCCGGGGCTATCAGGCGGGGGCTATAAGCTGTGGGCTATCGGAGGGGGCTATCAAGTGTGTAATATGTTTTCCGGGTCTTTTAAGAATATCAGGTCTGTAAATACTCGCATAGCATCAATGATAAAAAAAATGCGGGAGCCAGTCTTTCAACAGCTGCCACAGTGAGCCGATGCTAAAGCCACTTCACGTTTCAAAAGTAGCGTAGCGTACATCGATGTACGAGGCATATGCAACGTACAACCCGTGGGAATATCAGTGTGGCACAGCGCATCACTGAGCTAGATTTTAGACACCATGTTCTTCCCAGAAGAGGCGCATGGCACGTGTCTCGAGCATTTCCGCAACAGTGTATGGAGCCACGTTTCCCAGGATATGTGGTCTTTAGCCAAACCTACCCAGCAGCTCCGTAAGGCGCATTAAGAATATCATTGGACTGGTAAAAGTGACCGAGTTGCAAATGAATACTTAATATCCAAAGAATGAAGCGCGGAGGACAAGTTCAAGACCACCGAATAAAAGAATGTAGTTGTCCTCTGCTTGTATTCGCGTTTTACGTTTTTTCGATTTTATATTAGAGAATATCATATTCGAGCTAATTCCAACCTTCCGTTAGGATCTTGCTTCCGCGTCCACCACGGGTACATTATTACCATAAATGATTGGAAATGTAACCTCGGTCTCGGTGTTATTGTTAAACATCGCAGATATTCCAACGAGACCTCTGTGAAATGGCACCGCTAGCAGAAACGGACGAGCAGTGTTGTCCGCTCTAGTCGTCTCTTTCTGCACAGACACTCAATCTGACTCTGGAGCAGGTGCAAGGTTTCGAGGAACTGGGTCTGGACTCGTTCAGAACTCAGATGTGTCTAGCGTGCCAGTGAAGCTGTCGTGCAAATTCCGGATGAATCGAATGTACCAAATACTGCACTGCTGAACTAGTTCAGCCACTTCGTCCGAATTGTAGCAACCTATTGTGCGTAAACACCCGGGGGAATCTTGGAGTTCTAGGATTCTTAAACCTACACCTTGAAAGTTTGTAGTCTTCCTCTGTTATTTCCGTCGATAAAAGCAGATTTACTTCTATTAAAAACGACTGAGTGAGAGTTTCGTCAATCGGAATTGTCGGGCACATGGACGTCTTTGGTCGGGGGCACGCCGCCAATAATAATAAGAAAAAAATAATACCCTGAAAGACAGCCGCAGATATTCTGCCTCGATCCTAACGAAAGACATATCTCTCGAGAAAAATAGGACGCGGTTAGACTAACTGTTTGAAAACAGGGTTTTGACCAGTTGAAACGACAAAGCGAAAACCACAACGTTGAACACAGGTTAGCACATTCGTGTTTCTGATGATTGGCTCGCAGATACCCAAAACGCGGCGTCTCTGGAAGCGATCAAGAAGGCCGCTGTCGTGGTGTGCCTAGATGGCGGGCTGGAAGACGCGGAGCCCTTCGAAGTGGCCTGGCCTCGGCAAGTATACAGAGGAGGCCCGAAGGCCGAGCATGCAGCCAATCGCTGGTGGGACAAGCCGGTACAGGTAAGCAGCGGGACGGGTATTCTCTGTTTTACATTAGGTCCGACCAAGGACAACGCTACGACTGGCGGAGCCAATCAAGCAGCTCGAAGATTTCATTATCACGGCGCTAGCCCTCTTTTTACGTTTGCTATCTTCTTCTAAAGTAATCACGTACAGTATAGGCGTCGTGATCCCGCGTTTTTTTTTTTTTTTCTATGCCCGAATCTTTGAGCCGATGATAGAGATAGAAAGATGTTGGAACGAGGCCATAAATATGGTTGAAATTTAACGCGGGTTTCGATTATCTTCCGGAGGTGCACTGCCGGCTTGGGGCTCTGCGCGTATAGGGACATCTATATCTCCGCGCGGCTTCCTCGATGTAGAGGTCGCGCCCCTAGAGAGCTTTAAAACGTCTGGGCGAACAAAGGCGGTTCCGCGAGCACTTTTCATGCTGCGCCATCTCGAGGTTTTTGTCAAAAATGGGAGCCAACCTTCGACAAACTTGCTCCGCGGTGAGTCGCCCGAATTGGATCAAAGAGCGGAAGATACTAACTTACTACAAGACCAATTGGATTGTATTTTGTGCGGCAAGGTAAGCCTCGGAGGACCAGACGGCATCTAAGTCTGGCGAAGAGGATGCCCAGAAAGAGAGACTAAGTCAACAAGCAAAAAACCTCTCGATGTCAAGAGCTGTTACCTACGCATCTTGACTGGAGGCACCCTTTCTTTGTCTCCTGGCACAAAACCAGCCCACAGAACTGCTGGGAACGGAGCACTTGCAACGGCTACGTCAAAACCTCCGTAGAAAACATTCAAACAACTGCCACAAACAAGAGGGCCCTTTTCCACACAAGGGGGAGCCGCTGAGGACAAAAGTACCTCTGCTGGCGAAGCCCCAGGATGGACGTCCACGATCAGAGCAGCTGCGAGCATAGCCTTTGCTATATTGAGAATCATTGAGTCATCATGGGCCTGCACAGTCTCGACGTTTTTGCAAATTATGATTTCTCTTCTTGGGTATGTTAATAGGACTTTCGAATGACCAACGCTGCTAACAATCAAGTAAACCCGGTAACAGTGTAAAAGAAATAGAAAAAAAAAACGCCACATAAAGAAAAACGTAGCCCAGTTTTTCCTTCTCTCCTTTAGTGGAACGTGAGTGCTTTACGCATATATTTTCCCGTTCTCCGCCAAACTCTTGCAACCGAGGAAATGATGTACTGGCTCAACAAAAAACGTATTTGATCCCTGTAGATGTCCGTCTTTCTCCCTATGTCTTTCATTACAGTGCAACTCGAAGCACCATTGGAAGATCGAGAGTTACAGTACTGGTCCTTGCCGAGGTACGCCATGCCCCCTTGACCTTTCAGGGTTGTCTTCGTAGATTGAATAACACGCCGTGGTGACAATCTCAATTGGCCGGCACGTCACAATGGTTATTTCTGTATATATTGCCGCGCATGGTGTATGGAATGCGAAGGTGCCAGAAGGAATTCACAAATGTAGTCTAGGGCAGCTTATTATATGTGCAGATTTCAACCCGCAAAACGAATGCTGTGGCGGTACTTGAACGAACGCCGGGAGACGACAGTTTGAAGATACTGCTGTAGCTCTACAATTTCCATCCTTCATTGACGGGTCAAAGACATTTTGTAGTCGTGGAACTAACTCCAGCATAATAGACCTTGCGTGGGTATCGTCGCAGGGTGTCACCTTGTGGGCAGCCCAACCGGACACTGGAGGGAGTGATCATGTTCCCATCAGATTGACACACTCCATCGCAACCTTAAAGATCCTTAAGGTCTGCAGAGTTACTAACTGAAACCTGTTCCGCAAGCAACCTCTCTTCAGGGATTGTAGACAGCAATTATGACGATCTTACTACATGCATTGCGGAGTGCCTGCGGTTTTCAACGCGATCCGGCACACTTCCAGTAACGAGCCTCTCTCCTGACCTTGAATGGCTTAAACTACCAGCGGTACGACGGCAGGAACAACGAAGGGCGCTTAACACAAACGTCTCATGGGACTGGACTCGCTTCAACCGAATTGACGCTAAATTCATGCGACACACCAAGAGACTTCAGCGGTGGCAATGGAGCCAGGACTGCGCATCCCTTGATGGTCCAGGTTGAGGGAGGCGCGCTTTGAAGATCGCTCGAGCCCTCTCCTGCGCAAAGTTCCACGACACCCTATTGTAGGGCTTGCAATCAGTTCTGGTATGTGTATGACGGAAGTTGCGCAGCTATTAGCGGAGGAATCTTCCTGCTCCACTATTCCACCATGTGAATACCAATAAAGACTAATGAATCTAACGCCAAGCCAGCCTAGTGAATCTCAAGACAAAGAGACATCATTGGCTACTTATTCAGACTTCACCCTAAAGGAACTCACTCGAGCACTCCATCACTGTCGAAAGAAAATCACTACGGGCCCGATGGCATAACCTACCAGTCGCTGAGGAACGCGGATCCTATACACCATCCAGCCATACTTAAAAAGCTCAACGACAATGGAAGGACAGGAAAATTTCCGGATTCATGGAAAGAATCGATGGTAAGTCCCATACACAAAAAAGGAAAACCGATTGAAAAAAAAACATCCTACAGGCCCGTTTTCTTGACAAGTTGCTTTGGAAAAGTTCTTCAACGAATGGTTCTCCAGCGTCTAACCTGGCTTTTGGAAAGAGTGGATGCCTTCTCGCACGAATTTGCTTGCTTTAGAGGCAAGAGGTGCACTGCTGCAGCATTAGGAGGCCTTGCCTCGACCCTAGAAGAAGCCAAGGCAACAGGCCATATGGTACACTGCGTGTTCCTCGACATCAGTCGTGCATTTGGATAATTTTCAGATCCATCCATCATCCAGAGACTAAATCATTTTGGGGATTGTGGCTGACTTATCTTTTATTGAGACTTTTTTTTTCTGGACGGTCTCTTGGCGTCAAACTGTAGGTGTTACTAGCACTTCTAGGCATATTGTTCAAACAGTACCCCAAGGAAGTGAATTGACTCTTCTTCTTTTCAAACTCGTTATGAGTTTGCAAAACCAAAAAGCAAGCTCTTCGAATAAGCATGGAAATCTACGCGGATGATGGTGCATTGTGGAGTGTCGGGACCTCAAGAAACGCTATAGGAATCCAAAACCGACTCCAGGTGGCCTTGGACTCTACTGACCTGGTAATAGCGCAACCAGGCCTTACGCTATCAGCGGAAAAGACCGCCTTACTCCTCTACCAACCCACAGGCCGAGCACCGCAGAATGCGCTAAGGCTAAAACTTGCTGGAACGCAAGTTAAAAGGGTGAAAATTTATATCTATCTCGGCGTTATTATCGATGACCGTTTGACATGAAGACCTTAAGTACGTAAGAGACTTGAACGTTGCCGTTAACTGCTACGTGCCTTTAGGCAGCTTGGAGGCTCCTCCTGCGGTGCATCACAACGTGCACTACTTCAAATTTACCAAGGGCTCATCATGTCCAGGCTGCTCTATTCACTGCCACTACGGGCTGATGCAAGGGCTCAAATTCGAAAAATTGATACTTTTCACCGGTCCGCACTACGAAGCTGTTTGGGACTCCCTCCTCCAGCAGAGAACGGGGCGACAAATGTTGCAGTGGAAGAGTCGCCCCTGTCTTTGAGACTTGAAGAGAGAACGCTGCACAATATCGCTCTTATGAGCAGTCTCCCTCCTGCGGACACAATCCGTAAACATCTTTTTGCCCGGCCGAACTCTCACCTAAAGCGCCAGGAGAGACGATTCGACTTCCAGGTTGGAACTCCTAGCGAATTTATCCTTCCTCAACCACCAGATTCCACGCGTCCTCCCTTGGGGAAACATGAGACACTCCCAATCCCACAGCGCAAGATGAATGTCCCAGCGTTTGTCGCTCGCTCAATCGCACTTGAGCGCATAGAAGCGTACAAAGGTTGGATTGATGTTTATACGGACGCCTCAATTAACCTTACCAAGCGGACTTCCACGGTAGGGATTCCTATTTCCGAAATGGGCTATGATATATCGGGAAGGCTAAATTCTGTTTCCTCATCAACCACGGCAGAACTCGTTGCAATCTGGGCCACTCTTTGGCCTATTAAGAACGCCTCGTCACAAACAAAACCCTTCATACTCACACCTTTCAAGAGGTGCTTTTCAGCCCCTTCAGAGACTTAATAATGCAACCCCCTGCTGTCGAGGGTCACGTCTGAGGCAGCGGCAGTTGAAGACATGAAATGATGCTTTACTTTGCAATAAATCCCGTCTCATGTCGGGATTCCTGGCAGCGAACGAGCTGACCCGCTCGCTGCAAAGGCACACGAAGATACAGTCCAAACCTTCTTACTGGATGTCTTTAAAGGGGTTCATCGATTCATCCGTGAGCTCATTACAGAACGACATCCACATCCTGGAGTTGCAACCGGGAGGCCACCCTTCGTGGTTCCCCGCAAGCTTCTTAAGGCTGAGACAATTCCTCCACTGGCTTCGGGCTGGTCGCCCATACACTGCAATGCGGCTCCACATAATGCGACGCAAAGCAGATCCTAACTGCCCCACCTGCGGCGACCCAGAGGACACAAAACATGCATTTCCGGTTTGTTCCACATATCAAGGGTCCAAAAAAACTAGTTTCTGCCACTTCAAACTATCTGGCCTGACATATGGACTATTACATAACTTTTGTACCCCAGAAGAACCAGAGGAACAGCAGAGAAAGCCTTCCGCGCAGTCCTCCGCTTTGTTTGTGACACTGGGCTGGCGAATAGACTGTGATTTTCTTCCAGATTGCTACCTACCCAAAGGATTTTGAACTATTTTGCCAGTTAACTGGGCGGCAATTTAAATTAGTTTAGTTGCTAAAAATTGGCAATTTAACTCCTTCTTTTTGAGTATAGTTTTTGTTTTTTCTCTTTCCACCCTTTTTTGCCAACAGCCAGGTAGCGGCTTGCCCATTAATTGATTGTCACACATCCAATGGTTTCCCCCCCCCCCTCCTGATACCTCATAAAAAAAAAAAGAAAACAACGACTGCGGAGAGTCGGTGCCACTCATACGCCGGTCTCTCCTTCCACCTTGACAAGGAAAATCTAGAATAGGACTGGACTGGGAAAAAAGCTTGAGAAAGTAGATCTGTGATAGATCGCAGATGTACTTTCGATCGTTGCGGAACGGTCGTTGCCGAACGGTATTTTTTTCATTTTGAAGGCCGACGACCAGACTTTAGATTCTGCAAGGCAGAGAATCCTCTTAACCAGGGGGGAGGAGCAAACGGGCAACGGTCGGCAGGGTAGAAGGGGGAAAGGAGGAAGCGGGGGAAAAGTGGAAAGCGCGAACTGGTCGTCCATCTTTAACAACACTCTCGGGTGATGTCGTCTTTGAGTTTGTCGACCACACTAAACACGCATCCGAATTGGAGAAACAAAAACACGCGTCAACAATCGATACAAAAATGTAACCTTTAAAGAAGTATCAGTAATCATCAATGAATACTTGAACACTAAGTTAATCAAGCGAGGAATCAGAGAGTCCTACGTACAATACATAAATATTTGGCTCGATGTTATACAGAAAGCCAGGTTTCTAAGGTGAAGTTGAAGACACCTATATTTGCAGTATATTTTTTTATGACAACACCGCGCTCACTATTAAGATTGAAACGTTTAAAAATAAAAATTTATTCTTCCAAGTCTTTCGTGACTTTGAACATATCGACAGTGTCACACACATATTCTGCTCTACCATTCCGAGCATAATAAGAGGGGCGGTGCAATGATTACTTTACTCGCCACAAATGCCACTTAGAAGCAATCCTTGACGTGTATAGCCTATGAAACACGCGCTAGCTTTTATCCTCGTGGAATGGTAACCCCCCTTCACCCTTTAGCTGAGGCTAAAAGCTCCGCTTTCAGCACGAACTCGCTGACTTCCGCAGTGCTTCGGTTGCGCGTGCCCGAGCGTTCTCACTTCTGTTAGTAAAGGCAGAAAGCTCGCTCTGAAGGCAGAACTTGTAGTCTCAGCTTGACGGTGAACAGAGTAGAGTCGCAGCAAATATATAATTAAGAACGAACAGCCTTCTTTTCCTTACCTCGCAGCCAAAAAACAAGCGGCCAAATGACCTGGAGGCGATTATATGCCGCCAACGTTGATCATAGCCACGCGCTGGGGTTGGCAAAGGAGAGGGCAGGCACGGTGTCCCAGACGTTGTTAGCGTTTGGCTATTATCGTCATCTTATCAATTGGACACTAGCTCCTAAATGGATTGTTATTGAGCAATTGATTATCGCGAGCCCAAATAAAGTGCTCACGCAATTCTAAGATCTGATCTATGAGCCATATTCAAATGTCTACACACTAGGACTATGCCAACATTGCGACTTCAAAACTACGTAATCAAGTTTTGCCAAGGAAAGATGGATTGAGAACGGTTTCTCTGATCTTTGAAGTTACCAATCAACAAATTGATTTATCGGTAAATGGCGTTGCGTGCGAGTATACTTGGGTCCCACTAGGGCCAGTAAGCTCGTGTAATGTAAAGAAACATTCCAACTGAATAACGTTCCTCCTCCCATTTAAACATCTCTTGGAACCAGGAACAAACTCTTGTTTTATATTCATACTTATCTTTGCCATTAAGAATTATCTCGCAAAGCAACACCGCGCCCTTTACAAGAAAGCTCAAATATGGCGCCGACGAGTCCGCCGCTGGTGTGTTCACCGCGTTCAAAAAAGTGGTCCCTCAATCTACGCCTGATGGCGTCATAAAAATTTTATGCTCTCGCCGGTCGCGATCCTAGCATTTGTCGCAGCAGCGGTGGTGGATGGAGCAGACGCCTGATCTACTGCAGGTCGCCCTCGAGTGTGTCAGTTCACGGGAGCTTCAGCTGCCAGTGGTGAATCGAACGCCACGACTACTGCAATCCCGAAATCTCGTACTTTTACGAGGTCTTCTAGCTCAACCGCGAGGATCGCGTCATCCGACAGCATATCACGCCGACTTCCGTGACGTCATTGTTTGGGACTTCGGGACCAATTCTTATGGTCGGGCGTGGATAGGACGCTAAACACGCCAGTCGAAGACGCGTTTTAGGAGCCCGTAGGTCAACTGACACAATTCACTGCTTGTTTCAGATTGTCCTGGGTGAAGACGGAGGGTCCGCCTTTCTGTTTGATCACACAGTTTGCGACGGCACCGTGATGGCCAGAATCACAAGTCACTGCTACAATTACGCGTGAGTGTGCTCTCAACGGTAATCGAAGGACCCTTTCCAAAGGGAGTTCTGCACAAGTGCAGTTTCACCTGCCGCAGTGCCGGAAGCTCGAACTGAGTCTTCGGAAGGGGACGTTGCTCTACCACTCGTGCCTCCCCTGCAATTCGCATGAGTCGCGGAGAAGGCAAGAGAGATCTCATTCCGGACGCTAATCGTACTTGGAGATTTTGCCACTTCGTAACGTAATCTTGTGAAAGAGTTAAGGGGATTTGTTTTTACCTCTGAGATTGTTTCTTTGTTGGGAATATTTTCGCCGGTACTGTGGTTGATTACTGTTAAAAGATAAATCAAAGTTAATTTCATTTTATCCGTTGATGGACTAACTAAGTATTTTGAGTCAGAGCGCAGTAACCTTGCAAACAAATGTTATCCTACTTTGTATTATCTTATGTCAGAACGGATCCGGCGGCATGAGCCGACGCAGCCTGAGCAATAGTAGAAAAACAACTTCGCGGCTCTCGTTGTTTTTGAAAGCGGATGTCTTCTCCGTATAAACCAACACAACGCGTAGGACAGGCGCCGTGGCCTCGCGCTAGGGATTGTGTGTTTTCTTATTTCCGACTACGCTATCTGTAAAAAACCTAAGTATTGATAACAAAACTGCAGTGCGTTCAGATACAAACAAATATGACGTTCGCCGAAACTAATATCGGACCCGCCAAGTCATTAAGACCGAAAATGCAGTAGAACATGATACAGCTTCGGATGTTTATCCTGACACTGTCGCCACTTTCTATCCGATTAGCACAGTGTTTTGGATCAACCTATGGTTTTTGAAGGCCAAGGTTTACCCCCTATGATAATATTTTACTGACGCAAATTTTAAAATCTAACCAAAGTTTACTAACCAAACATTCCCAGATGTCTCGGAACCAGTTAGGTTCCTCGGTCACTGGTGACTGTTGGTTGGACGGAGCCACTTGTGCACTCCAGTTTTGAACGCACTGCTCACTAAGTCAGTGTCAATATTTGCACGTCTGCTAAACGTTTGTCATTTACATAAATGGGTTATATCGCAGCATAAAAGCAGGGAGCTTCGAGGCATCTGATGGGAACGCGGAAGTTGTTCCTCAAAAGCTGGAATTCGTCCTCGGATCCGACACCTTACACGACCTAGAGAAGGCGACGTCTTTTCAAATTAGGTAAGTTTGTAAGCCGCGAACTCAAACAAAAATCAAAAGGAAGAATCCATTTTGTTCAAGTCTTTTTTTTACCTGGTACAGCTCCCGAAAGATTACCCGCTGGTAATATAACACACAAAAAAGTAAATATTTGAAAGTTTAATTTATCTTTCACCACTTTTAACTCCCTTTTCTCAATGAGATTAGGACGGTCAAAACCCACATATCAACAAAGCATTCGGGACACCAACGCGGACTTTTATCTATCATACATTCTAAAAATCCTGCAACGCATATATCTCCACAAAGTATGACGGGATTACTACCCGTAAAAATAAAGTTTTCCTATCGAAACGTTCAGACGCAGGCTGAGTCGTGCGCCGACTTTATGAACATAGCTTTCTCGAAATAGATTCATCATGAGGATACTGTAGTTAACAATTAATTCGCAGCTCTACGATAAACTCGTATGGTCCTAATATAAGTTTACAACGCGTAGTTTGTTTGCTCAATTGTAGTTGCCATCGTGTTGTTTGTTTGCCCTTATTTAATATTTCGAATTAACGTAAAAAAATGAAGAACGTCGGAAGGATTTTCTTAGAGCTGTTCTTGGAAAGTGTAGGCCAACAAAAACAAATCGAAGTCCAATTGCCATTATCGGTTTCGGGTGACGTAATGCAGCCTGATGTTTCCAAACGCCACAGACACTCCGATGACACCGACCGGCTATATTATCAATTTCCGAACTACGGAAAGAAGTTCGTAAAGTCGTGCAACATGAGTCCCGAAGGCTACGTGCAGATGGCCATGCAACTGGCGGTTTTCAGGTAAGCAATACGTCTCTTGCACGCGTAATGCATTTCGCTGGGAATATTACGATCGCAACGGGTAGACGTACGGCCGAATCCCGGAGAAAAGCTCACCGGAGAAAAGCTCACCGGAGAAAAGCTCACCGGAGATAAGCTCACCGGAGAAAAGCTCACCGCAAAACCGGCGGGTGCGGAGAAAAGCTCACCGATTTTTCTTTTCTTGTTTATGGAGGCTGTTGGATCATGCGTAACATATATCAATTTATTATCATTAAAGTTCGTCAACTTTGTCAAAAAGAAAAGGTTCTTTTTTGTATTATTTGCCAAGCTTATTAAGCATATTGCTCCCAAATTAAAAATGGCGGGCCAGTGTTTTCTGCGGCTTACTCTCTAGGCAACTAAAACCTAACTGAAAATTTTATGAACTTGAATAACATGAAAGAGTTCGAAAACTTATGTCTCCCCAAAACCTAAAAATCAAAACTGTAAACACCGAAAATCCGAAAGCGCGTGTGCAACAACGCGGTGCCTGAAATTCTTTTTGAAGCTTTTATTAACCCTTGAAAACAGGATAAAACAGTCAGTAGGATATCGAGGCTGCTTTCTTCCACGAACATGCACGTTTTCTAGCTGCTCGTGCTGATGTTTCCGCACGTTGCCTTTGTATGATAGTGCCCTTCTATGGTGAGCCACTCATGACTTTCAGAGCTGCACACTGGCACCGTTGTTACTCGTGACCTATATAAGAAATAGTCTTCTGTAAGGTAGTGAATAGAGCGAGTTGGTAAACGTTATAAATGATGAAAACCGCTCAAACGACGACGACAAAATGAAGACAAGAAACACGACAGGACGAAGCTGTTCTCGCAACTAAAGTTTTCTTAGTGAAATTAACAGAGAGAAAACAGCGTAGCCGACACTAACTGCATCAACAAATACCTACTTAACTATTAGGTACTACAGAATATTTGGAGCTGAAACGGTTCACACACCGCTATTCATATTAGCTCACAAAGAACAAACCTCTTTATATGACAGAGCTATACCGGTGGCGCACCCTCAGTTGTCAATAAATTGTTGTCTTTTTTACCGGTGTACGATGTTCTGATATCATTTTTGCGGCTTCATTAATATACCGAATAGGTGATTACTAATTTCTGAGGAATTAGTAAATATGCCCAATGACTATCAAGAATATTACAAGGAAGAGGACATATATATATATATATATATTTTTTAATGAAGTGGCGAATGAGAATTGTGTGAAATTGCCACGTTTAACGCAGAATCCGCTAAGTTAAAAAAAAAAAAAAATCGGTGAGCTTTTCTCCGCATCTGCCGGTTTTGCGGTGAGCTTTTCTCCGGTGAGCTTATCACCGGTGAGCTTTTCTCCGGTGAGCTTTTCTCCGGTGAGCTTTTCTCCGCCGCCCCGTACGGCCGACCGCGGCCGTACGTTTAAAATCGAATGGTTGCACTAAGGCCGCGCAAAGAGGGTATCGTCATGGCGCTTGTCGTATTTGTTGTCTTGCAATCAACGCCTAAAGGAATCATGCGCAGTGAATGCCGCGTGGAAATGCACCTTTTTAAATGTAATATCATTTTTCGTAGCAGCCAAATTAGAAAAAAAAATGCTGTTTTGTTTCAAAAAACGAATACGCATGCGCGGCTTGAGTGGTAAGTGGATGCATTGAAATGGCAGAAAAAAACTCCGGAGTTCCCCATGGGGTCACCGACTCCTGAAAGTCTCAGGATTGCGAGACCGACGTACAACTAATTTGCCGACGGGGAGGATTTTTAATATGTAGTTATTAAGTGCGGTAACATTTTGTTTTTCAACCGGCAACGCGGAACGTGAAGGTTACGCCAGCGGAGAGAGGTCCTGTAGCAATCTATATTTCCAGCAGCGCCACTGGCAAAGAAAACGTTATATTTTATTTTATTTAGGTCGCGTTTATATTGCGCGTTATTACGCTTCCCTACATTGCTCAAAAAAGCTTTGCAAAAACAAAAAAAAAAAACAAAAAAAAACAGGTACGATAACATTGCTGGCGTTTCGATACAACGCCAAGACAACGAGATGCATGTTTTTTTTTGTTGTTGTTGTTTTGTTTTTTTACAGCGATAGATGCTACTGGCTTTTTCCCCAGTGGAAATGACCTTCGTTGTCGTTGTAGTGTTCGTTGTATTTTACACAATAGAATTGAAGGCGTCCGTGGCAATATTGCCAACTGCTTAAAAAAAAGATAGCCTGCCGCTTCCGTGAATCGAACGTGTGAAGCGGACGCGTTACCAGAGAGCCACAGCACGGCATTCACAACCCGCTTTCCCATCCAGCTTTTTTAGCTGTGTTAGAGACGTGTCCTCGACTGTTCATTTTTCTTCTACTTTGAAACTTCCTTTTTTTCCTGCCTCAGTCTCGGGCTGAGAACAAAATGGTTAACAAAGAAAGGGTTTGACCTTGAAAGGTGCGTTTCCTCTAACAAATCACTCAGTCCAAAGAAACAATACTATACACTGCTAACAGCCGGAACTGGGGCCATCTCCAAAATTGAGAACGACATTGCCCTCCAACCACGAACCACTATTGGATAACACTGCGACTTTCTCGAACAAGTCCAAGGATACACATATAAACAACACTAGTACTGCAAAATAAAAAAAAAAAAAAACTTTACAAGCGTAGAAATTGTTTACATTCGTTCCCAAACTGCAATGACGCCTGAATTATACAGTTGCCAGACGTTTTAGAGCGCAGCTCTTAGGCACCCGTTTCCGGCTTGAGCGCCGTCGGCGTCGCCGTCGCCGTCGCCGTCGGCGTAACCGCGCGGTGCATTATGGGTAAATTTCCCCGCTAAATCTAGCGGAAGAATTTCCCCGCTAAATTTAGCGGAAAAATTTCGCCACTAAATCTAGCGGAAAAATTTCCCTGCTAAATCTATCGGAAAAAATTCTCTACTAAATTTAGCTGAAAAATTTCCCCGCTACATCTAGCGGAAAAATTTCCCCGCTAAATCTAGCGGAAACATTTTCCCACTAAATCTAGCGGAAAAATTCCCCACTAAATTTAGCGGAACAACTTCCCCGCTAAATCTAGCGGAAAAATTTCCCCGCTAAATCTAGCGGAAAAAATTTCACCGCTAAATCTGGCGGAAAAATTTCCCCGCTAAATCTAGCGGAAAAAATTTCCCCGCTAAATCTAGCGAAACAATTTCTCTCGGGGTCACGTGACCCCCCGAGGTCACGTGACACCCCTCAGGTCACGTGACCTTGGGGAGGGGGTCATGTGACACCACCAAGGTCACGTGACCCCCCCCCCCCGACGTCACTTGACTTCCCCCCCCCCCCCGAAAACAGATGAACCTCAGTACCCTTCCCTCCTCCTCCTCAAGAGCTGCGCTCTAATTCGGCGTTATAGGGAGTTGTAAACGGCCTTCATTTTTTTTTTTACGAATCGTTTCTTGGACTACACGTTTCTTATCATTGCGTTCTTTGTGAATTACTTCCGTTTCAGACCAGTTGACTTTACAATTATTACACTCTAGAAGGTGCCTGGCTAACTCGGAATTGGACGCGTTGTTTTTCACATTCGTTTGTGTTCCGTCAGTCTATCATTTAGACATCTCGACGTCTGACCTACGTATTTAAATCCACACTCCAAAGGAATCTCATAAACCACAGAATTCTCACACGGTACCGACTTCTCGCGATGTGCCTTCTGGCAAACTTCCAGTTTCGGTTCAAAAGGTGTAAGCTTGCATAACTTAAAATCGGATGTGAACACTGTTTCTACGCCAAACCTTTTCGCCGACGCTTTTATGTTATGGGAAATATCGTGAAAATACGGTATAGCAACTCGTCGGTTCCTTATAGTTGGTTCATTCCGCTTGTCTCTGATTTGAATAGAAAGTTGCCGTTTTAGAAAAGTCTCCTCATACCCCGCGTCCTCCAGTCTACCCCATTGTCTTTTTAAAGCTTGACTCATGAAATGGGTACATGACCTTCTTAGCGCATTACCAATTAATGATTGCGCAACTCCCGCCTTAATAATTTTAGAGTTACAACTTTGTCTGGGAAGCACCGGTTTAGCGATCTTCTTACCATATTCCCAACACAAGCCATTTTTTACCTGAATGCGCAAGTGTATAAACTGCAACACGTTCTCCTCTGGCTTTTCTACTGTGAAAGTTGCATTTCACAGTAAAAAAGCCCCGGAGTTGCATTTCACAGTAGAAAAGCCAGAGGAGAACATGTTGCAGTTTTTGGACTTGCGCATTCAGGTACAAAATGGCTTGTGTTGGGAATATGGTAAGAAGATGGCTAAACCGGTGCTTCCCAGACAAAGTTGTCACTCTAAAATTATTAAGGCGGGAGTCTGCGAAATCATTAATTGATAATGCGCTAAAAAGGTCATTTACCTATTTCATGAGTCAAGCTTTAAAAAGAAAATGGGGTAGACTGGAGGACGCGGGGTATGAGGAAACTTTTCTAAAACGGCAACTTTCCATTCAAATCAGAGACAAGCGGAATGAACCAACTATAAGGAACCGACGAGTTGCTGTACCGTATTTTCACAATATTTCCCATAACATAAAAGCGTCGGCGAAAAGGTTTTGCGTAGAAACAGTGTTCACATCCGATTTTACGTTATGCAAGCTTACACCTTTTGAATCGAAACAAGAAGTTTGCCAAAAGGCACATCGCGAGAAGTCGGTACCGTGTGAGAATTCTGTGGTTTATGAGATTCCTTTGGAGTGTGGATTTAAATACGTAGGTCAGACGTCCAGATGTCTAACTGATAGACTGACGGAACACAAATGGAATGTGAGAAACAACGCGTCCAATTCCGAGTTAGCCAGGCACCTTCTAGAGTGTAATAATCGTAAAGTCAACTGGTCTGAAACGGAAGTAATTCACAAAGAACGCAATGATATGAAACGTGTAGCCCAAGAAACGATTCGTATAAAAACGTCTGGCAACTGTATAAGTCAGGCGTCATTGCAGTTTGGGAACGAATGTGAACAA